GGCTCACTGTGGCCTTGAGACCTGGTGGAGCGAGTCAGGGTCATCGTCCTGCTGGGCTAAGCCCCTGCCTCTCCCACCTCCCGCTGTCTTGCTAGGTAGCCTGAACTTGCCCAGTCCTTTGTGTCAGGCTGGGTTCAGAAGGTCTCAGAAGAGGCCCAGCAGGTGGCTGGGAGAGAGTAGCAGCTGCCCTCAGGGGCACTGGGTGAGTGCAGCAGCTTTCTGCTTCGTATGTTAGGCGCTGGGGGCCCCTCACAGGTGAGCACTAGGGAGGCTCCTGGCACACACCCATGTTCCCATTACCATACAGAGGTTATTAGGGAGGGGAAATCTACAGGGAAACAGAACACATGGAAAAGAAAACAAGTGAGTTTTGACAATGGCTGTTGGGGTTATTCATTAGTTTCTATTTATTTGCGCTGTGCTGTGTTTACCAGCAGGGCTCACTGAAGGGAGTCCAGCACAAGCAGTCTGTATGCTGCTGCAGTCCCGGAAAGGCTTTGGTAAGCGGGAACTATGTGAGCAACATTTAGTTTACTCTTTCAAAATTCTCATAAAGAATTCTATTCCCAGCAGAGCCCCCTGCTGTGTCAATGGTAATTGATGACTACCATCATATTGAATAACTATGAGGTGTGGGCTAGGGAAATGAAGAGGAGCCTATGCCTGAGGAGCTTTTATACTTAGGAAAAGGAGGAGGGCTGTTTAGAACAATACCCTAGACCCAAATGACATGACCACTAAAAGCTGGATCTTTCCTGGCACCTGAAGTGCGCTGGACCCCTCTGTGTCCCCCACGGTAGCCCTGGAAGCTACTTGTTGCTGCTCATTTTACAGATGCACAAACTGAGGTTGGGAAGTTAAGGGATTTAACAGAGGTCACCTGAACAGTCCAAAGAGGTAGCAGGAGCTGTTCTTTCCAGCTTTCACATTTTAGGAAACAGTTGTGCTGAAAGTGAGTGACTGTCATCCAGTCTGCTTCCCTGGGGCCAGCGTTTGAGCTGGGCGTAGTCGGGAGTCCAGGGGGGCAAGCTGTCCATGCAGAGCCCCCTCCCTCTCCTGTCCCTTCCCCCTTCAGGCTTTGACCCCCCTTCCTGTGCTTTGCTTCCTTCTCTCCTTTTCCCTCCACTACTTCTCCAAGTTCTGCAGGCAGATTGGAAATTTATTTTAAGACTGGTTCCTTTTTAAAAGTATATTTCTCTGTGTCACTTAAGTTTCCAATGGATTTTTCTTTTGGCCTAGAGGCATGATTCAGGGTAGTGGTTTAATTTGTAAACAGCACCTTTCACCTTATTTGTCCTTTGTGAGATGCGACAGAAAGCAGTCACCTTGGTGGCTTTCCTCCTCCATTCCCAGGACCTCACCTGAGTCTCAGATGCTGATGTCTCCTGGGCTTGGATGAGATCTTCCTCCTCTCCTCATTCTGTGAAAAATCCTGGGGAATCTCATCTACATCTAAATCTTCAATAACAGTTGTTTACATGAACGTCTCCAAAATCTGTATTTCTGGCCCAAGAATTCCCTGATGAGCTACAGCCCCTATTGACCCAGTTGTCTAGTGGAGACCTCAGAGAGTGTATCTGAAGCAGAGCTCACCCTTCCCCCAGCTCCACCCATTGGTTCTATCTCAGTTGGTGGCACTGCCACCCACCCAGTACAGTGCCCCAGAAACCCTGCCATCCCTGCGTCCTCTGCAACCCAAGTTCTGTGATTTCTATTCCTTAAAGTTTCTAGAATGTGCCTCTCCCAGGCCCTGTTTTCTCTATACCTGACTCAGTCCAGACCGGTTTCCTTATGTACAGCCCTTGGGGTGTTTCTCCTCCATTCTGTCCATGCAAGCTTTTCAAACCTTTGATCTGTGACTTCTTGAAATCCACTAATGGTGCCTTATTGGCCTATGGGAAAAATTCCAACCCCCCTTAAGTTAGTTCCCTGTGTTCTTCTATGCCCCGTGAGATCCTAGATGGTACAAGATGGAGTTGGTGGCCGTGGCGACTCAACAGCCCTTTCCCTCAACCAAGTGCTGTATTACATAAGGAGGCAGCAGGCATCACCCATGTGTAACCTTGTTTCATCTAAGGATCAACCAGCCACTTTAGAAGTTTTAGAGCCTGTCTCTCAATAAGAGATAAAACTCTTATTGGCATACCTCTGTGTCTCTCTTCTTTACCAGTAATCCCAATTTTGGATAAGCTTTTGCATTTAGCAACCATGAAGGATGGGAAGGAAAGAGGTCTAGTATTCTAAGTCTTGAGCAGGGCAGGCTGCAGCTACAATGGCCAAGATGGATTCCACCAGGACATGCCTGCCTCAGCCTGGTCCTTGTAAATGGTGTCCCCTGAGGGGTGAAGTGTAAGCCTGTGTGGCTGAACAGGAGAGATTTGGGGGCAGCCCTGCAGTGCGGCTGCAGAGTCTGAAAGGATAGGATGCCTGGTTGCCAGGCCTAGGAAAGGGGTGAGTGTGGTGTGTGTGTGTGTGTGTGTGTGTGTGTGTGTGTGTAGAGTGGAGGGGAAGGGGCACAGAGATAATCAGGGGAATCAGGGCTTGAGGTTGGAGCTCTTTATCTGGGATGTAACTGAAGGAAGCTGCCATGTGTGGTGGGGGTGGGGTGGTGTTGCAGTGATTGAGGCCAGGGAGTGGGGGCTTCCAGAGGAGTTGAGCGAAGTGTTTACTTTTGATCCCCCAATTTATATCATTGCTTTCATTAAGGGAAATATTTAAACCAAAGTCAGAACTGTTAGGCTTAGATCTATCATCTAAATATTATTTATTTATGGTAAATGAGGTGGAGTTTATAGCCTAGTGACCTTTGGGTCTGCATCACAGGAAGGCAGCCTGTGGCTCACAGTCATGGCGCCATCCTAACGACCACCAAATACACCCTGTGCTCGAAGCAAGCAACTCATCAATTTCAAACCTGACTTACAACATATCTCTTTGTGCTGGTCGGAGGACATTGCTCTCTTGTTGAGAGCGTCGAAGTATGTAGTTGCACTTCCTGAAATTTTCTATATATGTATTAGTCACTGCCTCCCTGTCTTCACTGACCATTTGATTCTTTAACCCTTACAAGTGAAGGTCACTGTTTGCTAATCATGGAATCCGATGGCCTCCTGCAAGGCCTCTTCTCTACTGCTCCACGGTATCTGAGTGCAGATCACCTTCAGTTAGACACCCTGCTCCCGCATTCTAGACTCTTATTTGTTGGATCCCTTTTCACCAAGCGCAGATCATCCAACACTTGAAAATCAGCATTTAAAATTAAACTGTGACGTTTTAAAATTAATATCATTACTCGCAAGTCAAAATCTCAGTCCTCCATGTCTACCCAGAAGAGGTCTCTGTGTTTGACTCTGCTCTGCTAACATGCTAATCAGTTGGAAAAGCCAACAAGAGTATACTAATCAAATCTGTTCATGGCACAAAACAATACGGGCCACTGGATTTTAAAAAAGTGTTCAGACAGATGTTGACAGGCTTAAGTAGATGAGATGAATAAAGTAACGTGAAATACAATTGGAACCAATGCATAAGTCCTCAGTTTAGGTATTAAAAAAATAAACAGCTCCACAACTATCGTGAGGTGTCGTGGGTTAGGAGCAGCACACGTTAAAAAGATTTAAGTCTCACTGCAAACTCAGGGTGAATCCCCTGGCTTCAGGGTGAAGGTGGGAGGACGAATAATATAATCCTATCTGCTTAATGACAAAGGCCAAACAAAGGTTGTGATGGTTCCAGTCAGACCACACCCACAGACCAGAGCTTCTTATTGTTCAAGTAAGTGCCAATGGGCAGGACCTGGAGGGGAACCAAAGGTTTCAGGATAAAACACAGGAAACACTGGACTCATTCCTGCTGAGAGTTCCCCAGCACCCCAGCCCACTTAACACTGGCAGTTCCATAACCAATCTCTGATCCCAAGATCAGAGGAAGAGTGCAACCCAAATACCACACACAGACAGCAAACAGGTCCTGCAGACCTCACAAAGGTGCAGCAGCTCATGAAGTCAATGAAAGTGACAAAAGATCTGGCAGCCAAGCCATCCATTTAGTATAACCCAACAGGTGCCCAAACGAGAATGCTACAGATAAAAAGGACAAAGAGAAGCTGGAGGTGGGGGTGGTGGGGGGTTTCCTGGCTAGCGCAACTAATTCTGGGGAAAAAACTTTCACTATGATCATGAACTAAAGTCCAATGTCAAGTGACGGACTGCCCTATATGCACATCATAGAATTTTGTCAGGAAAATTTACACTGTCCCCCCAAAACAAACTCATCATTCTAAAATGAGTACTCAAGAGCCTGACCAATATGCTGAAACCCCATCTGTACTAAAAAAAAAAAAAACCAAAAAAAAAAAAAACTAGCCGGACTATGGTGGCGTGCACCTGTAATCCCAGCTACTCAGGAGGCTGCAACAGGAGAATGCTTGAACCTGGGAGGTGGAGGTTGCAGTGAGACGAGGCCATACCCTGGCCTGCACTCCAGTCTGGGTGACAGAGGGAGACCCTGTCTAAGAATAAATAAATAAAGTAAAATAAAAATAACATGAGTACTCAGGATGAAATTAACTTATTTTTACAATTTAATATTTTTTTATTTTTTCAAAATAAAGTCCCAACCAAACTTTTTTCCCCTTTGACTAGGAAATGTTGATCCCTGATTCAAATGGATTAACGCTAAGTGGCCCTTTTCTAGGACCAATCATTTTCAGATATTGAGGACATCCGGGTCACCATCCAGTCTAGAATTTTCAAACTGCAGCTGTGAGGATGGTGAGATGATTCAAAACCACCTCTGCAGAGACACCACAGAAGGTGAGGCCTGGAGAAGAACACACACACAAAGGGGACCACACAGCTGTGTTCGAAGACTGAGGGCCTGTCATTGTGATACTTCTGAAGAGCCCAGGAGTACAGACTGAGGACCAAGCAGAAAATACTGTCATTTCCCCTCAACATTACCAAAAAAAAAAGAAATAAAAAACTGTTAACTGTTTGGAAAACTCTGCCCCTACCGCAAACGCTCTCTCTCTCTCTCTCTTTCCCTCCCCCACAAAGAGGCTCCCTTATCTCTCACTTTACATACCGGTCCTAGCCCTCCCGCAGCCCAGCTTCCCGCTGCCCAGCTTCCCACCCAGCAGTTCAAACTGACCAACAGTTGCCCACCACCTCGGCTTTTGGCTTCCCCACCCCCCAGCCCTTCAGCCCCCTATAAAACAACCCTGCCCCTCTGAGCAGCGCGGCCATTTTTCCTTTTCGTCCCGGCTGGCCTGCCCGGAGGCTCTTTCCTCTCAATAAAGCCTGAACTTAAGGAATTTCCTCTAGCCTGCGGTCCGGTTTTTTCCGAACGAGCTCAGTCTTCCCGCAGAGGGTAGGTCGGACAAATGGTGCCGGAAACCCGGGACGGGAGCTGGGGCCGTTGGCCCGGCCACGGCCCCCCTCCCCGACCTACCCAACACTGGCCCTGCCACCTCCACGTTCCGATTAAGGTAAGCCAAGTTTTTCTTGCTTTGCCTTCCCCCGCTTCCCGTCTCCTCTTCCTATGGCACGGTGCAGTTGCTCCCTCTCCAGCGTTCCGCACGGACTCCTTGCCTAGTCTCGGCCGAGCCAAGGTAGTCTTCCATTCCGGCTCCAGGAGCCTTCCGAGGGACAGCCGCCAGACGGGGGACGCCCCTCTGACCGCTTCCCTTTCCGTACTTAATTGTACTCCGGGGAATTTGCAATGAACGGGGACGCCTTTTCGTTGCATCTGCCCATCCGCGCCGGAGAGTCTGTAGCTGCGCCTGCCATGGGAAATTCGGAGTCCAAAATACCTCTGAGCACCCCCCTCGGGTGCTTGCTGCGAAATTTTACCAAATTGGGATATTCCCAAACCCTCAGAAAGAAAAAGCTTATTTTCCTGTCCCAGGTGGCTTGGCCCCAATACAAACTCAGTAACCAGTCACATTGGCCCCCGACTGGCACTTTTGATTTCAACACCGTCCGAGATCTCGACGATTTTTGTCGCCGCGCGGGCAAGGACAATGAAATTCCTTACGTCCAGGCTTTTTGGGACCTCCGTACCCACCCCAACCTATGTTCTTCCTGCTCCACCTACCAAATCCTCTTATCTCGAACCCCCCGTAAATCTTCCTCCACTACCTCTCCCCCTCCCTACTCCTCACCGGAGGATCTGCCTGAACATCTGTCCTCTCCTGCCAATCTCAGCAACCACTCGCCATCAACGGCACGCCCTTTCCCCACTCCCTCTGCACCTCCTACCTCAGAGGCCATGCCTCGCTCTCCCTCTACTCCCTCCGAGCCCCCTCCCTCAGAGGCCGCACTTCCTCTTGCCTCTCCGGTGGCGGCCCACACCCGCTCCCACCAGCCAGCTATCCTGGCCCCACTCCGAGAAGTAGCAGGCGCAGAAGGTTTAATCAGGGTCCATGTTCCTTTCTCACTCCAAGACCTGTCCCAAATTGAGAAACGTTTAGGATCCTTCTCAGCCAACCCGTCCACCTATATTAAAGAATTCCAATACCTCACTCAAACATAAGAAGCCCTAGTCCGGTACACTCGACTAGATCCAGCCTCCCAAAATGGGGCCACTGTATTAGCCTCCCATTTTATCTCCCAGTCAGCACCCGACATAAGAAAGAAACTAAAGAAAGCAGAAGAGGGGCCAGAGACTCCCATCCAAGACCTGGTAAAAATGGCCTTTAAAGTATTCAATGCCATGGAAGATGCGGCTGAGGCTGCCCGCCAAACTTGCATGAAGCAGAAGGCTGCCCTCCAGACCCAAGCCCTAGTGGCGGCTCTAAGGCCGGCAGGGAACCAGAAGCCCAAGGCCGAAACCCATGCCCCTCCAGGGGCATAATTCAAATGTGGAAAGGAAGGACACTGGTCCCGAGCCTGTCCACAACCATGGCCACCAACTAAGCCTTGCCCTATCTGTCGGCTCCCGGGACACTGGAAGTCAGACTGCCCCAGCTTCCCCAGGGTGCCGGTTCCTCAAAACAGACACACTGGAGTTACGCAGCCGGCGGTCACCCTCAGTAGGGAGGAGCCTGCTTGCCAGGAGCCGACCTCTGAGGGAGCTCCGTTCCCCAGTCTACTAGGGCTGCTAGATGACTAGCGGGGCCCTGGCTTTCCGACTCCGGTTACCCTCGCCGAGCCTAGGGTCACAAGACATGGGGGCTACCTACTCCGCACTTCCTTCTTATTCTGGCCATCTCACCCCTTCCCAGGTCTTAGTCATGGGAATCGATGGGACCCCGAGTATCCCCTATCAAACCCCACCACTCATGTGCTCATATAACTCCACTCCCTTCACCCACTCCTTTTTAGTAATCCCCACCTGCCCAGTTCCCCTTCTGGGGTGAGACATCCTTTCAAAGCTGAAGGCCGTCATAACCTTCCCCACCGCCAGCCCACACAGCCTTTTTCTCCTAGCCCTCAATACTCTGCCTCAGAACTCCAGACCCTCCAGTCTACCCCCGGGGTACGGTTCAAGGATGACTGGGCCTTCAAGCATAACCTCATCCTCCCTGAAAAGCAAAGGTACCAGATAATCCAAGACATCCATAATTCACTCCACATTGGGCCTAAAGCCTTATACCGATTCCTCAACCCACTTTTTCACCCTCACCATCTCCTCAGTACCATACAGGAAGTCCAGTCCTCATGTACTGTCTGCGCGAAAACTAATTCCCAGGGTTCCTGTCATCCCCGGCGCCAGCTTCATCAGCTACGCAGGTTCCTACCTGGCCAAGACTGGCAAATTGATTTCACCTATATGCCAAAGCACAAACAGTACCGGTATCTGCTAACCATTGTTGACACTTTTTCAGGCTGGATTGAAGCTTACCCCACAGCCTCTGAGTCTGCCGGGACAGTAGCCACTCATCTCATTCAAGACATCATCCCACGCTTTGGACTCCCGGCTACCATACAGTCAGACAACGGCCTAGCCTTTATCTCCAAAGTCACTAATGCCGTTTCTACCTCTCTAGGAATTCAGTAGAAGCTACATGCCGCCTACCATCCCCAGTCCTCTGGTAAGGTAGAACGGGCCAATGGCCTAATAAAGGAGCATCTGACCAAGCTCATGCTTGAGCTCCGCCAATCCTGGGTAACCTTACTTCCTATCGCCCTCACCAGAGTAAGAGCAAGCCCCCGGGGCCCATCACAGCTTAGCCCATTTGAGCTGCTGTATGGTTGCCCCTTCCTGCTTTCAACTCCCCCACCGCCAGAGACTACTCCTCTAGACAGCTACCTCCCCTACTTTACTCAGGATTAGGAGGAGGGGCACTAGTCCACTCTCACCTGGCTATAGCCCGACTGACCTCGCAATTCCAAGCAGCTATTGATGACTCTACTGAGTCTTTAGCATCACTCCAACGACAGATCACCTCAGTTGCCCAAGTTGCCTTGCAGAACCGAAGAGCCCTAGACCTGCTCACTGCTGAACGAGGAGGGACCTGTATCTTCCTACAAGAAGAGTGCTGTTACTACATCAGTGAATCCGGCCTAGTAGAAACCCGAATCGAGAGCCTCCAGAAACTCAAAACTAACCTCTAGAGTCAGATGTTCTCGGCTGAAGCCACAGCGTGGTGGTCTTCCTCTATGTATACCCTCTTGTTACCATTGCTTGGGCCCCTAATAGCCGTTTGCCTAATCTTACTTATTGCTCCTTGCTTTCTCCAGTTCCTACAGCGGCTCTTTCAAGAACTGACTGGAGTCACCATCCACCAGATGCTGCTCCAACCCCACCCTGAACGAGTGCAAGAAACAGACCTCTCCCCAAACCTCCAGGCTCCTTAGGAAAAGAAACCTCTTCAGAACCCCCGTCGACCCTTGTCAGCAGGAAGTAGCCAGAGAGACAACCGACGCCCCTGACCCCCTCTTTTTCTTTTCTTTAAGGAGTCGGGAATGTTTGGAAAACTCTGCCCCTACCGCAAACGCTCTCTCTCTCTCTCTCTTTCCCTCCCCCACAAAGAGGCTCCCTTATCTCTCACTTTACATACCGGTCCTAGCCCTCCCGCCCCAGCTTCCCGCCCAGCTTCCCACCCAGCAGTTCAAACTGACCAACAGTTGCCCACCACCTCGGCTTTTGGCTTCCCCACCCCCCAGCCCTTCAGCCCCCTATAAAACAACCCTGCCCCTCTGAGCAGCGCGGCCATTTTTCCTTTTCGTCCCGGCTGGCCTGCCCGGAGGCTCTTTCCTCTCAATAAAGCCTGAACTTAAGGAATTTCCTCTAGCCTGCGGTCCGGTTTTTTCCGAACGAGCTCAGTCTTCCCGCAGAGGGTAGGTCAGACATTAACAACTGAAGTTGCCCCAAAAGTTGATACTTTGTCTTGAGAGACCATGGGTTTTCATCACTAGGGGTGCTCCACTGCCCTCCAGCCCTAATCAACTGTCTCCCTTTCTCCCACTGCCAACCTGCTCAGTTTCCTGCCCACGAGGCCCTTACCCACTGACCACTTTACTCATTCAGGTGTCTACTGAGGCCCTGCTCTGTGCCAGACATGGTTCCAGGAGCTGAGGATATGTCAATCAATAAATCAGAGCAAAACCTTTGCCCCTAAATGGCTTACATGGTGGAAAGTAAGTTCTGTCATATTTTAAAGATAGTTACGGGAAGAGGAAGATATTGTTCAGAGTAAGGTAGACTAGGAAGAGAACCGGGAAGAAATTTTAAATAGGGTGGTCAAGACAGACCTCACTGACAAGGTGACATCTGACAAGCTTCATCAAGAGGACATGATAGAGAGTTCTAGGAAACGCCCTTGCCCTGGGGAGCTAATCAAGTGAGCATTAGCCTAATCCTATCCTTGCCATGTATTTTTAAGTAATTTACCCGCCCCCAGTTAGCCTTTATAACTGTGCCCAAAGCAAAGGAATACAAAGACCATGGAAGGCCCCAGGTGTGGGCCCAGTGCCCTCAGCCCTCCTCAGACACCTGGGGCCAGGCTTTCCCCACTTCAGAGCAGAACTCCTGCCACCTGGTTCACCTGCTGCTGCCACTGCTCACTCGTGACCACCTGGCCTCCTGTGGAGCTTCCAGAGACAGCAGATTCCCTGCAGGATTCTTTTTCATTCAAATTGCATACTGCTCAGTTTCTAAAAACTCTAAAGAGTGGGTGGGCTGAAAAGGTTTATTTCAGGAAATTGGCAGCCAGGGACTGCCACATTTGTTGGAATTCCAGGGCACAAAAAACATTTGGCAAGAGACAAAAAACACTCTTAAACATAACTCGGTTCTAATTTCCAGACTTCCAGGAGTCAAAATATACAGGACTTCAAAAAAATACTCAGTATCCTTCTGAATGTTCCCTAGTTCAAAGATAATGTCCACTTTCCAACCCTCTCTCTCTAAGACATGACGGCTTTTTCCAGTCCAAGAAGAACTGTTCTTTTGCCTAATAGCATTGAAGCACGAGGCAACCTGGCTTAAAAATTTCCAGCTCGTAGGCTGGGCATGGTGGCTTAAGCCTGTAATCCCAGCACTTTGGGAGGCCGAGGCGGGTAGATCACGAGGTCAAGAGATCGAGACCATCCTGGTCAACATGGTGAAACCCCGTCTCTACTAAAAAAAAGAAATACAAAAAATTAGCTGGGCATGGTGGCGCATGCCTGTAATCCCATCCCAGCTACTCAGGAGTCTGAGGCAGGAGAATTGCCTGAACCCAGGAGGCAGAGGCTGCAGTGAGCCAAGTTCGCGCCATTGCACTCCAGCCTGGGTAAAAAGAGCAAAACTCCATCTCAAAAAAAAAAAAAAGAATTTCCAGCTCTTGGTTCCTGGGAAAGATTAGAAAGATAATGAATGATATCAGTCCCTTCACTAAAATGAGTCTACCTCCTTGGAAGCAGAACCTAGAGCACTGGCACTTGTGAATTTTACACTAAACAGTATACTACACACTTCTGGGCTCACTTTTGTAAGAACAGAGCCCTTCAAAAAAACACTAAGTAGGGGCCGGGTGCGGTGGCTCAAGCCTGTAATCCCAGCACTTTGGGAGGCCGAGGCGGGTGGATCACGAGGTCAAGAGATCGAGACCATCCTGGTCAACATGGTGAAACCCCGTCTCTACTACAAATACAAAAAATTAGCTGGGCATGGTGGCGCGTGCCTGTAATCCCAGCTACTCAGGAGGCTGAGGCAGGAGAAATGCCTGAACCCAGGAGGCGGAGGTTGCGGTGAGCCGAGATCGCGCCATTGCACTCAAGCCTGGGTAACAAGAGCAACACTCCGTCTCAAAAAAAAAAAAAACAACCACTAAGTAGGTTTCAGAAGTGTCAACAACCAAAACTCTAGAAAGAGACTGCAGTAACAGTATCTAGAAAACAATGCATGGAACACAAAGCCCTGGGGAGGTGCACATGCTCAGGGCCTCATTACTCCTGGGGTGTAACTAAAGTGTAGTCAGTTTTAAAACCTTTTTTTTTTTCTTTTAGTTTCCAAGGAGTTACTGCATGAAGGCCACTGGGAATAACTTCAGCAGGACTACCAGGAGACAGCTTGGTACTTTCTTTCACTCTTCCTGTAAGGATTTTTTGCAGGACCTCACTTCAGCCAGCTGACAGAACAGAAGCATAGAACCTCAGCATTTTATGAACCAAAAAGGCCTCCGAGGTTCCCTACTCTTAGCCACCCTTGAGAATCTGCTACATTTGTGAACTGGGTCCCTGGATCATACCCAGCTGGCACAGAGTGACCGGGAGAGGGAGATAAAATCAGGGCCCTCACTGGCTGCAGATGTAGTTCAGAAAACTCTGAGTTAATAGAAAAGAAAGGTCACTTCAGTAATGAGCTTCCAAGAAGGCTCCCTAGGGGAGGGATGGTGCTGTCAGCTGCCTGGGTTTCAGGAGGGAAACACAACCAGGGTTTCTTGGGAGAGTCCCGGTGATGCCCACTGTCCAGGCACAGTTCTTAACAGCATCCGATTTCACTCTTCAAAGTGTCACCGTTTGTAGGCCAAATCACATGGTCTTTCTAAGGAAGGATGATTGAGTTTCTTTTTTTTTTTTAATTTCTCAGATTTATGGTTTATTTCCTGCCCTTCATCCTCATCTCCCCCTCCCAACACACACAATCTACCTCTTGTCATTCAGATCGCATAAATCTTTCACCTTTTACTAGATTGAGTTTCTTTTTTTTGAGACGTTGGCTTGCTCTGTCACCAGGCTGGGGTGCAATGGTGTGATCTTGGCTCACTGCAGCCTTTGCCTACTGGGATCCAGCAATTCTCCTGCCTCAGCCCCCTCCCCCCGCTACCTGCCAGTAGCTGGGACTACATGTGCACCACCACCAAGCCCTGCTAAGCTAATTTTTGTATTTTTAGCAGAGACGAGGTTTTACCATGTTGGCCAGGATTGTGATCTGCCTGCCTCGGCCTCCCAAAGTGCTGGGATTACAGGTGTGAGCCACCTCACCAGGCTGGGTGACTGAGTTTCTAAGGGGCATACACTCTCCAAGCTCACCACTGCCCTCTAAATGTACAGCATGCAAATTCCTAACATATTCCTGTTAGGAATGTACAGCATGCAAAATCCTAACATGCTCCTTCCTCCACAGGGCAGAGGAAGCAGAGCATCTCAGCTGGGTAACCACTGGAACCAGACCACCCCAGTTAGGATCTTAAGCCCTCACATTTAACAGCAGTGAGACTTGGGACACACTCTCTAACACCTCCCATTTGAAAAAAAAAAGGTGGCTCACGCCTATAATCCCAGTACTTTGGGAGGCCGAGGTGGGTGGATCATGAGGTCAAGAGATGGAGACCATCCTGATCAACAAGGTGACACCCCGTCTCTACTAACAGTACAAAAATTAGCTGGGCACGGTGGCAAGTGCCTGTAATCCCAGCTACTCGGGAGGCTGAGGTAGGAGAATTGCTTGAATCCAGAAGGCGGAGGTCGCAGTGAGCTGAGATCGTGCCATTGCACTCCAGTCTGGGTAACAACAGCGAAACTGTCTCAAAAAAAAAAAAAATGAAGATCAGAGTAATTGCTAGGATTAATGAGAAAACATTTGTAACATGTATAGAAAAGTGCGTGGCAGTTACCCTGGAGCACTCTATAAATGTTTGCTAAGCAAAAATAAATATGCAGTTCTATGTCTAACAGGTAAGTAAATTTTTATAAAGGGATGGTGAGGCAAGGGAGAAAAGCCCTTCTCAAAAGTCTTTGGATTGCCCTTCCTACTCAAGGTCCTCTCACTAACACAGACACCCTATGCATGTGAGATTCTGGATGGTGCCAGCTAGGGACAGGGTGCCGGGGGGTGGGGGCGGAGACACCACTGCCACAGGCCACTCCTTAATTTCAGGTGGTTTATGATCAACCACATGGCAAATTTAGACATTGAAACCAGCTCAGGCAGAACAAAGAGGCTAAGACAAATGTTCCAGGTTGCAGCCGGCAGTCAGAAGCCAGAAGCCACCAAATAGCTCCTGGGGTTGCTTTTCTGAACTCAACGTAAAGAGAGCCATTTGCCACAGTACATGTTCCGCACCTGCCACTGCACACCCAGGTATGTGATTCAGGACTTCAGAAGCATCCCAGGTACCATCAGAGCACCCCACGGGAGATGAAACATCTCAGCTACAAATCCCTTACATGCAATTCCATGTGATGAATGATAAAGAAATCTTAATTCCTCAGAGAGACGCTTCTCCAGCACAGACAAAAGTGGGTACTTAGGATAATCAACATGTCAAAGTGGGTGACACCACACTGTCTCATCCGAAACAAAAACGGCCAATCATCTAATATTTGACTTTGTGAAAGCATCACCTTGGGCATTTAGGTTTCAGTTTTACGTCATGTTTCAACTTTGCAGACATGATCTGAACTCCTATTAAAACGATAAATTCTTATGTAACGAAACAGCTATTTGGGAAAGAATGGAGCCACTGAGGCCATCTAGGCTACACACAGGGGTCAACCACTCAAACAGAAGGCCTGGGAGACATGGGTGACATAAACTAGAATGAAAGGAATGCTAAATAATATCAGCAAATGCTGATTAAAAAAAGATTGTAAGTATCCGTACACACATTAAGGTACACACATATCTGTTTTCATGTGATTAGTAGTCTCTGATTCACTTCTTTGTTATCTATGGTGAGTCACTGAGAGAATGCGATTCCCAAGATTTTAAAATTCTGAACAAACGGAAAGAATGCAAGCAGAGGCACTCCACAAAAACATTAAACGTCGAGTTAGGGGGATATTTCTGAACAGAGACAGGAAGTCTTGGCTATAGCCGGGCCTGGAGCAAGGAAACACTTTTCCGCCAGCCTTCCTTTCAGGAAAACTAACACTTTTCCTCCAACATTTTGTAATAATTACTTTTTAATAAACGGCGAAGACAAACTAGCAATTTCCAGCACCAACCTTCAACTGTTAAGGAAGAGTTTCACAACTTCCTAAAACAGAAAGAGGCGTGGGACTCATTACCTATTTACTGTGACTTCATTAATTTTATGTAAATTTCCTTCAAAATAATAAAGCTGAGGAGAAAGCCGAACAAGCCCTGATTCAGACTCGACACCTCTAGTTCACATTTTAAGGAACCTGCTTTAGCGAGAAGTGGTCCATGCGATGATGCACTTTCAGAGCCAGGAGCAGCCGCGGTCCCCGCCAGGGCTGCGGCCACCGGCGCTCGAACTCAGAAGCCGCTCAACAAGTTCCCCGCCGGCTTCAGCTCCGCACCCCCACCGCGCCAGGCTCTCCGCGGAATTTCCTCCCGCACCTCAAGGCTGCGCTTCATTTTCACACGCGGAAACGCCTCCTCCCGCGGCTCACCTCCGCAGTCCCCCAGCGCGCCCGCGACACTCCCCGCAGTCCCCCAGCGCACCCGCGACACTCCCCACAGTCCCCTCCGCCAGCTCCCCCTCGCCCCAGCTCGGCCCCCGTCCCTCCCCAACCCCGAACCGCCCCGCGCCCCGAACTCTCCGCGCCTGCGCCGCGCCCAAGGACCACCCCCCCCCCCGCCCCCACCCCGTGCTGGGCCCCTCGGATCCTCAGTCCTCGCTGCGGGGAGAGGGGGCGGACGGTGTACAAAGGTCACCCCGAGCTCGCGGAGGCGACCCGCGCGGGAAACGCGCTCGCCCGCAGGGTGGGGGCGGGGTGCGAGAACGGAAGGAACGACAGAAGGCGCGGACTGGGGCCGGGAGCCTCCCCGCCACCAAGGTCCCGCACCTCCCAGCTCCGCGACGCTCGCAGAGCTGCGGGGCTGCGGGGCTGCGGGGCTGCGGCTCCCCGTCGCTCCACCATCCGCGCTCTCTGGGAAGGTCCTCCCGGGCGCCTCGGAACTGCCCAGCAGCCAACGTGGGGGCCGCGCCTCCGGCAGCACCCGGTCCCCGATACCTACCTCCAAGAGCAGTCCGAGCAGCAGCGCCGCCACCGTCGCAGGCTGTCGCCTCATGGCTCCTCGCGTCCTCTCCGGCGCGCCCGGACGCTGGGTCGCAGGCGTGGTTCGCAACTCGGCCCCTGCGCGGGGCGGACCGGCGGACTGAAGCCAGGAGCCGGCGAGCGCTGGGGGCCAGGCGAGGAGCGGGCGTGAGCCCGGGCGCGCCGCGCAGCCCTCGCCGCGCTCCGCCCCCGGCCGCCGCTCGCTCCCGACACGCCAGGCGCGCGCCCGCGGGCTCCGGGAACCGGAGGCTCGGCCTCGGGCGCGGCTGCGGGGCGCAGGGCCCGCGACACCAGCGTGCGCGCGTCCGGGGCGGGAGGAGGTGCTGCACCGGCCCGCGAATGGGAGGGGGCTGCTAGGCTCTCCCTCCCCGGGGGAGGTCGTCCCGTCGCCCTTGAATAGACCCAGGAAGGCTTTTAAAAGAAGCAGAGTCTCCGCGGGAGGAAGCTGTTTCCCTGGGAGGTGGCCCCAGACGAACCCAGTGCTCAGTCTGGCATCCCGAAGCCGCTCCGCTCCTGGCTCTCCCCGCCGTTCCTGCGCGCCGCGGGGGCGGTGCCCCAACACCCACGCGTGATGGGAAGGCCGGCTGGGGGTGGGAAAGTCCACCGTAAAAGAAGGTCCCCACATCTCGCCGCTCCCTTGGATGTGGCTATTTTTTATGCCAGTGTCCTTCTACGCTGACCCTACTTGAACTTGACCGCAACCTGCCCCGCCTTGCAGGGCACCCTCCAGCCGCAGACAGCTGTGCGGAGCTCGCGCTGTCCTCGCCTCCGCTGACCCCGCCTCCATGTCTTCGCAGACACCCTTTTTTCACAACACAGCTCAGGTCCCACCTCATTCATGAGGTTATTCGGCAAACACTATCGAACTTGTAAGATGTGCCAGATCCTGAGCTGAAGACTCAAAGGAGGACAGGAAAACTGCTAATGTAGCCTAGAGGGAGAGAGAGTTACTTAAACCACCTGATGCAGAATGCTGTGTGTGGAGATCAGGAGGTAGATGCATCACAGAGGGGCACAAAGGACGTGAGCTGCGCAGCACAGAAGGCAGAAGGAGGGGGCACACAAACAGATGTCACCCGAGGTAAGTCCCCAACGTTTTCCCAGCTTTCAAAGCTTCATTTGATTAATATAGAGCATGCACCATCTGACTATACCTGTCAGAGCCAGAACTTGCAAGTAAGGCAGAAATGATGCCTGTGGCCTTCAGTCATGCGATGGCACTTGTCCAACAAGCCTGTCAAAGGTTATTGAACTCTAGTAGTTTTGATTTACTATTTACAATGAGGGTATTTTACAACTCTTTTTAGGGGAAAAGTTAACTTGTAGTAAACTAAGCTGAGACCTTGTGGTGTGTGAGAGAGACAAATCTTGTTTCTCCAGTGGTGACAGAAGAGATCTCATCCAGTAAAAATGCAAATGGGCCAGGAAGGGTGGCTCATGCCTATCATCCCAGCAGTCTGGTAAGCTGAGGTGTGAGATGCTTGAGCCCAGGAGTTTGCCAACACCAGCCTGGGCAATATAGCAAGACCCTGTCTCTATTAAAACGTGTGTGTGTGTGTGTGAGAGAGAGAGAGAGAGAGAGTGAGTGTGTGTGTGTGTGTGTGTGTGTGAGCGCGCTCGTATATATAAGGCAAATGACCCCTGCTGGGGTGAGTCATAACTAGCTTCCTATCTGATTTATCCACTTCATTGCCAGCATTTCCTTTCTCCTTTCCCCCTGCTTTTGTCTGTGCGTGTAGGTCAGTTGCCTGCATTCTCCTTGGAAGCACCTTTGTCATCCCACTGTTTCCCTCATTAATGGGTTAAAATAGAACTTTGACACGTGTTCACAATGTATTCATGTGCAAATTGTGCTGCTGTTGCTTTGTGAGCAACATACTAGTGTCTGCCATAACCTTCCTCCTGCATCTCTGCCTAGAAGATGATCTTGCTAAGTTCCACTTCCTGTGATTCGTGCAAAGTTTCTTCACAGTATAAAATTAGAACTGTGACTCTGCTTTCCCCTCAGTCTGACACCTCTCCTGTGTGCTCTCTGGTCCTGAATGATGTGCTGGTTGCTTGTCATGGTTGGAGGATGCAGTGTGGGCTGACCAGCCAGGCTGTTTCTTTGAACACAAATTACAAGGGCATCAGATACCACTGAAAAAGTTACCAGATAAAGAAAGCTGCATTTACTACTGTTAAAGGGAGTGTGACTTGGGGTTAGAAGAAAGTCCTTGATTAGTTGTTTGGGGAAGGACTGGACATATCCTGGTCTGCTCAGCTGCCCCTGAGGAGTGAGGATCCAGAGCCTGGGGCATGTGTGTTACCAAAAAAAAACCCCAAACAAATAAGAGACTGGGCTTGACTTGTAGTTGCCCTGCAAAACTATGGAGTCTACATGAATGATGAACATATATTTTATTTATTCAATAAATATTTATCTACATCTGTTTTGGGTCTAAATCTAAATTTTGTTTAGCCCAGAATCTAAGTTTTGTTTGTCCAGAATCTAAATTCTGGGCATTTAGAATAGGATTCATCAGTGAACAAAATAGACAAAGCAGCAGCATAAAGGGCAGAGTGGCTGCTCTCATGTAGATTTCAATCTAGTGAGGGGTAACAGAGAATAGAATAAATAAATAAATGTGTAAAGGGCCAGAAAAATAAACAGTGAAACATATGGAAGGCAAGCATTTGTCTACACCAATAACAGACTTAAAGAAAGCCAAATCAAGAGCGAACTGCCATTCGCAATTGCTACAAAAAGAATAAAATACCTTGGAATACAACTCACAAGGAACGTAAGAGACCTCTTCAAGGAGAACTACAAACCACTGCTCAACGAAATCAGAGAGGACACAAACAGATGGAGAAACATTCCATGTTCATGGTTAGGAAGAATTAATATCATGAAAATGGCTATAGTGCCCAAAGTAATTTACAGAATCAACGCTATCCCCGTCAAGCTACCATTGACTTTCTTCACAGAACTGGAAAAAACCACCATGAACTTCATATGGAACCAAAAGAGAGCCCGCATAGCCAAGTCAATTCTAAGCAAAAAGAACACAGCGGGGGGCATCACACTACCAGATTTCAAACTATACTACAAGGCTACAGTAATCAAAACAGCATGGTACTGGTACCAAAACAGAGATATAGACCAATGGAACAAAACAGAGGCACCGGAGGCAACACAACATACATACAACTATACAATCTTTGATAAACCTGACAAAAACAAGCAATGGGGAAAGGATTCCATGTTTAAGAAATGGTGTTGGGAAAACTGGCTAGCTATGTGCAGAAAGCAGAAACTGGACCCCTTCCTGACACCTTACACTAAAATTAACTCCAGATGGATTAAAGACTTAAACATAAGACCTGGCACCATAAAAACCCTAGAAGGAAATCTAGGCAAAACCATCCAGGACATAGGAGTAGGCAAGGACTTCATGAACAAAACACCAAAAGCATTGGCAACAAAAGCCAAAATAGACAAATGGGACCTAATGAAACTCCACAGCTTCTGCACGGCAAAAGAAACTAACTAGAGTGGATCGGCAACCAACAGAATGGGAAAAAAGTTTTGCAGTCTACCCATCTGACAAAGGGCTGATATCCAGAATTTACAAAGAACTCAAACAGATTTATAGGAAAAAAGCAAACAAGCCCATTCAAAAGTGGGCAAAGGATATGAACAGATACTTTACGAAAGAAGACATATATGAGGCCAACAATCATATGAAAAAATGCTCATCGTCACTGGTCATCAGAGAGATGCAAATCAAAACCACATTGAGATACCATCTCACGCCAGTTAGAATGGCGATCATTAAAAAATCTGGAGACAACAGATGCTGGAGAGGATGTGGAGAAAAAGGAACACTTTTACACTGTTGGTGGAAGTGTAAATTAGTTCAACCATTGTGGAAGACAGTGTGGCGATTCCTCAAGGCCTTAGAAATAGAAATTCCATTTGACCCAGCAATCCCATTACTGGGTATATATCCAAAAGACTATAAATCGTTCTACTATAAGGACACATGTACCCAAATGTTCATTGCAGCACTGTTTACAATAGCAGAGACCTGGAATCAACCCAAATGCCCATTGATAATAGACTGGATTGGAAAAATGTGGCACATATACACCATGGAATATTATGCAGCAATCAGAAATGATGAGTTTGTGTCGTTTGTAGGGACATGGATGAATCTGGAAAACATCATCCTCAGCAAACTGACACAAGAACAGAAAATGAAACACCGCATATCCTCACTCATAGGTGGGTGATGAAAAATGAGAACACATGGACACAGAAAGGGGAGTACTAAACACTGGGGTCTATTGGGGGGAAAAGGGGAGGGCCAGTGGGAGGGGGAGGTGGGGAGGGATAGCCTGGGGAGAAATGCCAAATGTGGGTGAAGGGGAGAAGCAAAGCAAAGCACACTGCCATGTGTGTACCTATGAAACTGTCTTGCATGCTCTGCTCATGTACCCCAAAACCTAAAATCCAATAAAAAATTAAAAAAAAAAAAAAAATAGGAGGGTCAGCCGGGCACGGTGGCTCACACCTGTAATCCCAGCACTTTGGGAGGCTGAGGCGGGTGGGTCCCCTGAGTTTAGGGGTTCGATATCAGCCTGACCAAAGTGGAGATATGCCGTCTCTACTAAAAATACAAAGTTAGCCGGGTGTGGTGGTGCATGCCTGTAATCCTAGCTACTCAGGAGGCTGAGTTAGGAGAATCGCTTGAACCCGGGAAGCAGAGGTTGTGGTGAGCGGAGATCACACCATTGCACTCCAGCCTGGGTAACAAGAACAAAACTCCATCTCAAAAAAAAGGAGGGTCAGGCCAGACCCCTATGGCAAATTGCCAGGAGCAGAGACCCAAAGGTAGGAGAGGAGGGTGAACAAGACTGCTAATCAAAGCTTTGAGGCAGGAAAAATGGGCCTGAGGAATTTCCTGACAGGATCAGTAGGGCTGGAGTTCGGCGCTACCCTAGCAGGGGTAGGACCTATATTCAAAGAAGAAATGGACACCCAGATTTGTAGTCCGTTGTAAGGATCTTGGATTTAGTTCTGAAATAAATGGGATATCATTTGAGGATTTTGAGCTGAAAAGTAACATAATCTGGCTTAAGCCTTAAAAGCATCAGCCCCAGTGCTGTGTGGAAAACAGACCAGGGGCCAGGCATGATGGTTCACACCTGTAATCCCAGCACTTTGGGAGGCCGAGGTGGATGGATCATCAAGTCAGGATATCAAGACCATCCTGGCCAACACGGTGAAACCCTGTCTCTACTAAAAATACAAAAATTAGCCAGGTGTGGTGGTGCACCCTTGTAGTCGCAGATACTCAGAAGGCTGAGGCAGGAGAATCACTTGAGCCCAGGAGGTGGAGGTTGCCGTGAACTGAGATGGCACCATTGCACTCAAGCCTGGTGACAGAGCAAGATTCCATCTTAAAAAAAAAAAAAAACAGATTAGGTCTGGGTTGGGAGGAAGCGTGGAGGGAAGGGCAGATGCTAGAAGAGCAGTGAGGAGATGGATGTGATGCAGATACCAGTGTGCTAGGGAAGTCCTCAAATGTCACTGGGACTCTGACATCAGCCAGTGTCTAGGCTCTCGACAGCATTGCAAGGAGGAATTCGAGGATGAGTTGAAAATAGTGAAAGTCAGAGATTTATTGCAGAGCAAAAAGCACACACTCAAGAAAGGGAATTGCTGGCATTCGGAAGAGAGTTGTGCAAATGGAGTTTGGGGCCACTACTACCTTTATGGTTTCTTTAATCAACGGGTGGGATATTTATGAAAATTCCTGGGCAAAGGTGGAGATTCCTTGGAACTGTCATGCAACCCATTTCTATACCAAATATGGGTGTTGTTGGAAATGTTATGACGTTGGTGTGTGATTTAGTATGTTAATGAGTGTATAATGAGGTTCTTGCTGAAATCTGGGTCAAACCCTGTGCAATGTTGGGCCCAGCTTGGTCCACACCTTCGTTTTTTGGGGTCTTAACAACCCATAGCCTCTAGTCACATGAAAGTGCTCCCTGGAATTTTTTATTCTCCTGTGATCACTCTGTATTATTCATGTGTCAATGTAGTCCTCATGGTAACAAAAAAAGTCAACTTCTGTAAAATATTCGAAGAGATTTATTCTGAGGTAAATATGAATGACAAAGCCCGAGGCACAATCTTAAGAGGTCCTGAGAACATGTGCCCAAGGTAGCCGGGTTGCACCTTGATTTTATACATTTTAGGGGGACAGAAGTTACAGGCAGACATCAATCAATACATGTAAGGTGTACATTGGTTTGGTCTGGAAAGGCAGGACAACTTGAAGTGGGGATTGGGGGGATTCCAGGACATAGATAGATTCAAAGATTTTCTGTTTGGCAATTGGTTGAAAGAGTTAAGTTATTATCTAAAGACCTGGAAACAATAGAAAGGCGTGTCTGGGTTAAGACAAGGGATTGTGAAGACCTGGTTTATGATACAGATAAAACCTCCAGGTAGCAGGCTTCAGAGAGAACAGGTGGTAAACGTCTCTTATCAGATCTAAAAAGGTGCTAGACTCTTAGTTAATCTCTCCTGCATCAGGAAAAGACCTAGAAAGGGAAGGGGATTCTCTTTAGAGTATACATTTCCCCGTAAGACATAGCTTTCCGGGGCATTCCAAAATATGTCAAAGAAATATATTTTGGGGTAAAATACTTTGATTTCCTTCAGGGCCTACTATCTGTCATGTGATGTTATATAGACTCAGGCTGGAATTTGGTATTTATTGCTACAAAGAGTCTGTTTTGTCAGTCTTAAAATCTTTATTCTAATGTTACTGCTGGTCAGTTGTGCCTGGATTCAAAGGGAGGAGGGTATCATGAGGCTTGTCCCACTTCCTGTCCCATCATCATCACCTGAACTAGTTTTTTAGGTTTCCTTTGAGATTCCCTTGGCTGAGAAGAGGGATTCATTCAGTGAGTTGGAGTCTTATAATTTTAATTTTGGTCTACACTCACACTCCCTGGTCTCTGCATTCAGCACTATGTATCATAGTTGCTTAGGTGGCTATTTCTCCTCTCCATTACTCCAGGCAAGGAATGAGGTGACTTTTTGTGTTAAGTTTAGTCTAAAGTTCATACATGTTTAAGTTCAACCTAAAGGTGTTTCTGTTCATGGTGAACTATATTGTTAGAAATAAATTTTCAGTGCCGCAAAAGAAATAGCACTGGAACATACATTTTCTCAGCAAGGCAATTTACTTCTATAGAAGGGTGCATCTTAAGGATGGAGCAATGATGAGAGCACACCTGAACAAGGGAGGAGAAGGGGTTCTTATCCCTGATGCAGGTAGCCCCTACTGCTGTGTTGTTCCCCGTTGTCTAAGCTAATTCCAATAGGCTATTTTAAAGAGAGCAGGGTTTCCAGCCAAAGTGGTGGGGTGAGCAGTTTCGGTGGGAAAGACAATTATGGAACTGTCACTAAAGATGACTCAGGTCAGAGCAGGAGACCAAGAGTGACTCAGGACAGAGCGGATGATCAGGGGAACAGATGTGAACTACTGATTAGAGCCGTGGAAAGGTTGTTTACCGAAACTAGGAGCAAGGAGATGAAGAAGTTACACTTTTAAATGGAGAACAAAGTACAAGGAAACTGAACATACTAATAAAGTGACTCTTTGAAGAGAAACTTAGAACTCACTGTACTTACCAATAACAAGTGGAGGCAGAAACAGACCGTAGCCTACACTTGTGCCAATCAACAAGTTTTGGCCAATCAAATGTAACCAACTGTTCAAACTGTGATCAAATAAGGCAAATTTCTGAGCTGCAACCAATCCAGCAGTTTCTGTACCTCACTTCTGTTTTCTGTAAATCACTTTAGTTTTTCTGTTCATAAATCTTCCACCATGTGGCTGTGCTGGAGTTGCTGAGCCTATTCTGGCTCAGAAGGCTGCCTGATTCACGAATCGTTCATTGCTAAATTAAACTCCTTTAAATTTAATTTGACTGAAGAACTATATATATATTATATATATTCTATATCTATAATTATATATAGATATAGATTCTATATCAATATAATTTGTGATATGTGACAATCAAAATGAGTGACTGAGGCAAAAGTCTCAATCATCAGGGTTTATTCAGCCCTCGCCTTAGGGCATATCTGGGAAAAGCATGAGCCTCTGTGGCTGTTTTTCCAAAAAGGTTTTCAGGAAGTTTTATAGTTATACATTTCCTTAAAGTGGGAAAGGTGTGTAGGGGGAGAGGCAGGTAGGTGGTAAGGTGAATGGTTACATTCCTGTGAGACATTAGCTGGTGCCCAGTAAATCCACATTACACAAGATAAGTTGAACTCACCAAGAGAAAAAGGGAGTAAAGGAAAAGTTGGTTATGCGGATGTCTCTAAGTAGGTGGAGGAACTACTTATCTCATCTTAAATTGTTGTGCACCTGGGAAGATAAGTTTATAATCAACATGATCACTGTGGAATTCAAAAAACTTCAGTTTCGGGAGGTAAACTTAGACTGCAGACCTGACAATTGTTACAATTGGCACATTCTTGTGAATGGAAGGCGGGCAAACGGTTTGCCCATGAATAGTTTGTGGGGGCAGCCCTGTGCAGGCGCCTGAGGCCCATCACCTTTCCGTGAGGACCTGGCGGATGCATAACGCTAGTCACTCCTATTCCTTTGGAAGGGGCTGTTCATGACTCAGCTTCCAGGCTTACCCTTCCCTTTCCCATTAGAAGTTTGGGGAATCTTGCTTTTTTTTTTCCTTTATATGATAGTAGAGGTAGAGACAAGTAGATTCTGGCTGTATCTAATGGCTGATTTTGATGATGAGTATGGGAAGCTGACACATGGCTATTTTGATTATTTTTTCATTACTAAAACCTTGAGTGAGGTATCTTGCACAATGCACCTGAAGGATGTTGCCCAAAGTGTGCACAGGAATTAGACTTCAGGAATCCTGTCAGGTTTATTGCAAGAAAGGCCTAACCTATTCAGGTCAACAAAGTTACAAGCTTAGAAGAGCTTGTAAAAATAAGTAATATCCAGGCACAGGGCTTCACATCTGTAATCCCAGCACTTTGGGAGGCTGAGGTGGGTGGATCGCCTGAGCTTAGGAGTTTGAGACCCACCTGGGCAACATGGCAAAACCCCACCTATACTTTTTTTTTTGAGACGGAGTTTTGCTGTTGTTGCCCAGGCCCCAGGCTAAAGTACAATGGCACAATCTCTGCTCACTGCAACCTCAGCCTCCTGGGTTTGAGCGGTTCTCCTCTCTCAGCCTTCTGCGTAGCTGGGATTACAGACACACGCCACCATGCCCAAATAATTTTTTTGTTTCTAGTGGAGACAGAGTTTTACCATGTTAGCCAAGCTGGTCTTGAACTCCTGACCTCAGGGGATCCACCCACCTCAGCCTCCTAAAGTGCTTGGATTATAGGCATGAGCCACCACACCTGACCCCATCACTACTTTAAAAAAATATTTTAAAAAAGTAATCCCTGTCTGGACAGAATTTGTGAGGATCATCTTAAATATCTTAAAAGTGTGTGTGTGAGTGCGTATGTATGGGTGACTGTGTTTGTGAGTGTGTGTGTATGTGTGTGTGTGTGTGTAGGCTGGGGTGGGGGAATGGGGCAGTGAAGGGAACCAGCCAGGCATTATGTCTAATTTCAAGAGATGCAGAAAGAAGCCTCAGAGCTTCTCTTATCTGACTAAAAGCAGCAACTGCTGAGAAATGAGGCTGCCATAAATTCTTTTTTGGCAGGTCTACTCCCAGAAAGAAAATCAAGAATAAACCTGTGATAAATCCCCTCTCTGGTATAGTTTCACGGCCATGAAGAAGAAGGAAAGAACACTGTACTTGCAGAAACATATATTATTATGAAATATCGTATCTTCTTTTTGTTCTCCTAAAAATCCACTTATTATTCTTTCCTAAAGAAACCTATTTGTGGCCTGGCACGATGGCTCATGTCTATAATCTCAGCACTTTGGGAGGCCAGGGCAGGCAGATCATTTGAGGTTAGGGGTTCAAGACCAGCATGGCCAACATGGTGAAACCCCTTCTCTACTAAAAAATACAAAAAGTAGCTGGGCATGGTGGCATGTGCCTGTAATCCCAGCTACTTGGGAGACTCAGACAGGAGAATTGCAAGACTCCATTTGGAAAAAAAAAAAAAGAAGAAGAAACCTATTTGCTTCTCTTTTTTTTTTTTAAAGACAGAGTTTCACCATGTTGGCCAGAATGGTCTCCATTTCCTGACCTTGTGATCCACCTGCCTCGGCCTCCCAAGTGCTGGGATTACAGGCATGAGCCACCGCACTCGGTCCTTGTTCCTCTCTTAGAACAAATTTCATCACCTTCCTTTCCTCTACTTAGTTAGGTATACTGTATAAGCCTCTAACTTTAAACATTAGTGAGCTGAATTCTTACATTAATCTGTCTTTTCTTGTTTTAATCAACAGGTCCCCACAGAATGAACCTAAAAAGATAGAGTAAAAGGGTTTTTTTTCCTGATAAATCTGGTGTGAGAACTGATGAATGAAAAAATACAAAGAATCAGCGAGGCATAGGGAGGTTTTGAGATAATGGTTTAGTTAATGATGCTTCTAAGATATGAATAATTGAAACGGTGGCAGCCTTGGCAGTCCATAGATTGGCATGGCATTGCAAGTCTAGCCAAGCCAATGAAAAAACAACAGTCTTACATTTTTTCTTCCATTAGATTTAAACAAATCTCAGTTCTACTTATGCTTTTAATGTCATTTTCTATTAAGACAACATAATTTATTAAATACTAGTGGCAAGGGAGGGAGTCTTCAGTAGTAGGTCATATACTATATACTATAAGAACTCTTGGAATATCATGAAGTCATTCAGCATCTCTGGAACGTAGATACTATTATGCCTTTTTCACACATTAGTCACTACTCTTCAGAGACAAAAAGTAACTTTCCCAAACCTGTTAACAAGCAGGAAGTGAAGCTCAAAGCCCATCCATCCTTCTTAGTAAATAGAAAAGTTCCCTGGAGAGCAGTAAGCTAGAAAGCTTTTCCACACTCATGAAGCGCTCTGTAAATTCACTGTAATCCAGACGTTTTTCAATCAGAAAAACCAAGCATCTAGATTTATTAATGCCTCACTTCGCTTCATCCTTTGGGTAGGTTTTACGTCTCTTCCATTCAACCCACTGGAAAGGACAATCAACACTTTATTTTTCTCTGGCTTTATTTGCTACTGGGAGGTTTTCTCAAAAGTTACTCTTACTCTGGAGTTATAATCAGAATCAAGGTGCTCATTAAGACTTTTTCTGTGCTTCCTTAGTAAATGTCCTTGGGTTCATGTAAGACATCAAAGACCTGACATATGTTTTCTAATGACCAGAGAAGCTGGTATCTCTGTGCCCCCACTGATGAACAACTCCACTCTTTGGAGTGCTTCTTGTGAGTGCTTTCTGCCTGTGCTTCCCTGGCAAGTCAGGGCAGCCGCCTCTTGCTCCAACAGCCAGTGCCGATGGAGTCCTCATTATCCAGTACGGTCAGATTAGGTCTTCTAATATGTTTCAAAGGACGAACGTGGCTGTTCAGTGGGTGCCTCTCTCTTTCGCTGTTCAGTGGGTGCCTCTCTCTTTCACAGCTTGCGTCCACCACAGCATTGACATGTTTCTTTTTTGTAACCTCTATTCCTCTTCCCCTGTCCCAAAACTAAGCTATGATCACTTTAAGTGCATGCATATGTCACATTCATTTTTGTATGTCTAAAATTTGGCACAATGTCAAGGACGATAGTGGGAGTCGAACAAATATTTAAGGAAGGAAGAGTAAGTGAGAGAAGTGAAGGGAAGAAAGAGGGTTAGGAGTATGTATTATAAATGTGAGCTTTAAACTGTTGCTGATTTTTCTCCTAAGGCATCTCTTTGCTAAATTTTGCAATCCTAGTGAAATGTCTACATTGCTATTCTGAACCACTGTTTAAAGTGTTGGGAAAGTTTTGATTGTCAGAGCTTTTGAAACTATGTAGCAAATAAAAGCCTCTTCAATAATCCACTAAAAAGTGTGCGATTAAAATTGTGACAAGGCCCAAGCATTGTCTCTGTCCTCCCACTATCTTCTAGAAGGTCCCCTGGCCATTCTTCAAAACTCAGGTTTGCATTATGGGTCTCTGGCCAAGGTGTGCCCATTTGGCCCAGAGTTCCTTGGTTGCTTGCCTGGATTGGATACTTTCTGACTAGTATATTCTCTGTCACTTTAGCTCCTTAATGTTATGTTGCACTTTTATCTGTCTCCCATAAATAACTTAGAAAAAATCACCATGGACCAGGAGCATTGGCTCATGCCTGTAATCCCAGCACTTTGGGAGGCCAAGGTGGTGGATTACCTGAGGTCAGGAGTTCAAGACCAGTCTGGCCAACATGGTGAAACCCCATCTCAAAAAAAAAAAAAAAAGAAAATATCACTATGATGAGTGACCACTGATTATATATATATATCCTTCTTTTTATTCTTCCTTTTTTTAAAATTTCAAGCAAACTCTCCTGATTAAGGTCATGTCATTTCAGGACAGTGTCAACCTATGAATGGCAGTGAGAGGACACAATTGGAAAAAGTAACTCTGGAGGGATCCAAATAACACTTACCCTTGTCTGTTACGTTCTTATGTTACCTAGCGTGTGTCAGGAAAGCCAACACAATCATCTTCACAGTCCAGGCCTGAGCCACTACCGTAAGCAGGAGGCAGCCCTACGCAGGGAAATAGGGAGGGGTGGGTACTGTGAACAAACTAAAGAGTAGGTGTCTCACCAAGGGTCCATCCAGCTATATTTTGGATACTGGCCAAATAGAGCATGTTTATGATTGTTCTGGGCTGTATCCAGTGTGTGTCATTTGGGTCCAAATACAGTTACCTCTGTGAGGAGATAGCTGGATATCTTCTTACCAAATTCCCTGTACACATCCCAGTTTTTGCCCCCCATAAAGTAAAGTTCAAGCCTTCCTTTTATCCAGATGCTTTCTGTCAAGCTTATCCGGCGCAATGAGCGCTCAATTATTACTGACTGAACAATTGCACACATTTCAAATTTTCTCCTCTGGGTTCCTAAAGCACCTACAGAGTAGGCATGACGTTAGTTTAGCCCTTAACTACAGATGTTTCTCTAGTTCAGTGTTTCTGAATCTTAAGCATTACATGACCTCTTTTTAAAAAGAACTGGGCACATACTCAAAGGAAAATAAATAATTCTCCCAAAAAAAAAAAAACAAAAAACCACACACATGCATGTCAACTGCAACACTATTCATAATAGCAATGACAGGTAATCAACCTCAATACCCATCAACAGTGAATTGGACAAAGAAAACGTGGTACATATATACCTAGAATACTGTGTGGCCATAAAAAGGAACAAAAGTCTTTGCAGCAATGTGGAGGTCGTTATCCTATTATGAAATTTCTTATATTCTTTCTGTTCTTTTAAAAATCCAAGTATTCTTCTTTCCCAAAGAAACCTATTTGTGGCTGGGCGCAGGCTGAATTAATGCAGAAATAGAAAACCAAATGCTGCATGTTCTCACTTACAAGTGGGAGCTGACCACTGAGTACTCATGGACATAAAGATGGAAATAACAGGCACTGGGGACTACAAGAGGGGGAGATAGGGAGGGCGATGAGGTTTAAAAACTATTTTGAGTACTATGCTCATTGCCTGGGTGATGGGATCCTTTGTACACCAAACCTCAGCAACGCACAATGTACCGATGTAACAAACCTGCACCTGCACCCCCGAGACTCAACTAAAAGTTAAAAAAAGAATAAATAAAACATGATTCTTCTCCACCTCTGGAGTTTCTACAGGGTTACGACAGGGTCTGCCAGTGATCCCACAGTATAAATTCTTTTCTTTTATAAAAATAAAATCCCAGATTTGAGAATATGATGTTTTCCAGTCTCCCTTGAACTGGTGTTTCAGGCACCCTGCTATATAAGTTTCTTAGGGCTGCCATATCAAAGTACCACAGACTGATGGATTAAACAGTAGAAATTTATTTTCTCTCTGTTCTAGGAGGTAGAAGAACACTGTCAAGGTGCTAACAGGCTGGGTTTCCTCCCAAACCTCTCTCCTGGGGTTGAAGACGTGCCCTCTTGCTGCCGCTTCACGTGGTCATCTCTCTCGGCATGGGCATGTGTGCCTTGAATGTGTCCAGATTTCCTTCTCTGATAAGGACACCAGTCAGATTGGATTCAGGTTTCTCCTAACAATCTCATTTAACTTAATCACTTTTTTTTTTCTGAGATGGAGTCTCGCTCTGTTACCAAACTGGAGTGCAGTGGCTCCATCTCGGCTCACTGCAACCTCCACTGCCTGGGTTTAAGCTATTCCTCTGCCTCAGCCTCCCAAGAAGCTAGGACTACAGGTGCACAGCACCATGCCCAGCTAATTTTTGTATTTTAGTAGAGATGGGGTTTTACCATGTTGGTCAGGATGGTCTTGATATCCTGACCTCATGATCCACACCACCTTGGCTTCCCAAAGTGCTGGGATTACAGGTGTGAGCCACTGCACCCGGACAACTTAATCACTTCTTTATAGTCCCAGTTCTAAATACAGTCATATTCTAAATTACTGGGAGTTAAAACTTTAGTATATAATTTTAGGGGAGTACAATTCAGCCCATAATATTACACTCTCTGGCCTCTCAACATTTGCATGTATTTGCATGTTGAGCATAGGATAGACATTCCCACTCCCAAAAGGATAAATTAGAAAAAAGAAAAGAATCACAAATCTCAAACAAGTCTCTTTGAAGAGAAACTTAGAACTCACTGTACTTAACAATAACAAGTAGAGGCGGAAACAGACCGTAGCCTACACTTGTGCTAATCAACAAGTTTTGGCCAATCAAACGTAACCAACTGTTCAAACTGTGTTCAAATAAGGCAAACCTATTAGGTTTCCTTGACTAATGGAGCACTACACAATCCTGGTTTCTTTTTTATATCTTTGGCAACTTCTTCTCAGTCTCCTTTTTGGTTCATCATTTTCTAATTGGTTATCCGGTGTTGGAACTCCTCAAAGCCTGATTATTATGTGGGAATGGATGGAAAGTGAAGTTGGAAATAAACATGGAATGATAAATTTGGAATAAACCTTGGAGGTCCTTCAATGATAAGATAAGGATATTGGGACATCCTTAGGAATTTTTTTAGTCAAACAGTAACAGGACTAGGTCCCTGCTTTAGGAAGATTTATCTTGCATTAATATGTAGATGATAGGTTGCATCTCCACAGTGCCTCTCTAATATTAATGATGATAATAATAACTACAGTAATACTAACTCGTATTTATGTGTTTTGATGAGATAATGCACATGAAGCAAATAAGGGGACTCAAGCTTAGAAAGAAAAAATGGTTTGCCTAGAGCTACCTGGTTATTTATTTGCAGAGTTGGGATTGCCTTTCATGATTTATACTAAAGATTTGTTGACTATTTGATAATTATACACCTCCGTTGCCATTCATTTTATTTTTTTGTCATTTAATATATATTACTCTGGTCACTCTAAATGTCTTTGAAATTGCTTGAGAATAATTCTCTAGTATACCCTCCAACTGTGATCCTTGGAAAACAAGTGTTTATAGAAATGTTGAGGATCCAAGATGGCCGAATAGGAACAGCTCTGGAGTGCAGTTTCCAGTAAGAACAATGCAGAGTGTGAGTGATCACTGTATTTCCAAATGAGCTTTCACTGCCCACAGACCAGGAGATTCTCTGGTCGAAAAGCACCACGAGTTTCCAGCGTGGCTGTTTCAGCCGATGTGGTAGGTTGGCGCACAGAAACTCATACAATTCTGGTGGCTGTTTCAACTGGCACCTGGAATGCTTGGGAGACAGAGCCACCCATTCAACTGAAAGGGAGAGGGCTGAGACAGTGAACCAGGTGATCTGGCTCGGCAGGTACAAGCCCCACAAAAGAAGCAATCTGAAACACTCTGGATTGAGAATTTCACAGCAAGTGGAGCTGGACCCGGGATGGTCTAGCTCAGTGCGGGGAAGGGTGTCCACCAATACCAAGGCAATTCCAACTGTACCTCTATAAACAACACCTTAAGGAAGTTCACACAGCAGCTGGGCAGAGCCTGCAGCAGCTCAGCAATGCCTCTGCTGGCAGACTGTGACTACACTATTTCCATGCTGGGCAGGGCATCTATGAAAAAAGGCAGCAGCACATCAGGAACTTATAAATAAAGCCCAACCTTCCTAGGACAGAGCACCTGGGAAAAGAGGCAGTTAGTGGTTCTGCTGAAGCAGACTTAAACATACTTGCCAGGCAGCTCTGCATGGAACAACAGAGCTCCCAGCACAGCACTTGAGCTCCTACAAGGGTCAGACTGTTTCCTTTCCAAGCACAGCACTTGAGCTCCTGTAAGGGACAGACTGTCTCCTCAAGCAGGTCCCAGACCCCCGTACACTCAAAGAGACACCTCATAAAGGAGAGCTCAGGCTGATATCTGGTGGGTAACCCCATGAGACGAAGATAACAGAAGAGGAAACTGGCAGCAACCCTTACTGTTCTGCAGCCCCCACAGGTGATCCCCAGACAAGCAGGGTCTGGCTGGAGTGTTCCTCCAGCAGTCCTGCAGCAGAAGGGCCTGACTGTTAGAAGGAAAATGAAAACACAGAAAGAAATAGCTTCAACATCAACAAAAAGGATGTCCACTAAGAGACCCCATCTGAAAGTCACCATCTACAAAGACCACAGGTAGATAAAGCCATGAAGATGGGAAGAAACCAGCACAAAAAGGATGAAAACACCAAAAACCAGAATGCCTCTCCTCCTTCAAAGGATCAAAACTACTCACCAGCTAGGGAACAAAGCTGGATGGAGAATGAGTCTGATGAATTGACAGAAACAGGCTTCAGAAGGTGGGTAATAACAAACTTCTTGAGCTAAAAGAACATGTGCTAACCCAATGCAAAGAAACTAAGAACCTTAAAAAAAGGTTAGATGAAATGCTAACTAGAATAAACAACTTAGAGAAGAATATAAACGACTTCATGGAGCTGAAAAACACAGCCCAAGAACTTCCTGAAGCATACACAAGTTTCAATAGCTGAATTGACCAAGCAGAAGAAAGGATATCAGAGATTGAAGATCAACTCAATGAAATAAAACAAGAAGGCAAGATCAGAGAAAAAAGAGTGAAAAGAAATGAACAGAGCCTCCAAGAAATATGGGATTATTTGAAAAGACATATCTGCATTTGATTCATGTACCTGAATATGATGGAGAGAATGACTCCAAGCTGGAAAACACTCCTCAGGATATTATCCGGGAGAACTTCCACAACCTAGCAAGGCAGGCCAATGTTGAAGTCCAGGAAATACAGAGAACACCACAGAGATATTCCTCAAGAAGAGCAACCCCAAGGCACATAATTGTCAGATTCACCAGGGATGAAATGAAGGAAAAAATACTAAGGGCAGCCAGAGAGAAAGGTCAGGTTACCCACAAAGGGAAGCCCATCAGACTCACAGCGGATCTCTCAGCAGAAACCCTAGAAGCCAGATGGAGGCCAAATATTCAACATACTTAAAGAAAATAACTTTCAACCTAGAATTTCATATTCAGTCAAACTAAGCTTCATACGTGAAGGAGAAATAAAATCCTTTACAGACAAGCAATTGCTGAGAGATTTCATTACCATCAGGCCTGCCTTACAAGAGCTCCCAAAAGAAGCACTAAACAAGGAAAGGAACAACCAATATCAGCCACTCCAAAAATGTACCAAATGGTAAAGACCATTGACACAATGAAGAAAGTGCGTCAACTATCGGGCAAAACATCCAGCTAGCATCAAATGGCAGGATCAAATTCACATATAACAATATTAACCCTAAATATAAATGGGCTAAGTACTCTAATCAAAAGACACAGACTGGCAAATTGGATAAAACGTCAAGACTGATTGGTGTGCTGTATTCAGGAAATCCATCTCATATGCAAGGACACATACAGGCTAAAGGGATGGAGGAAGATTTATCAAGTAAATGGAGAGCAGAAAAAGCAGGATTTGCAATCCTAGTCTCTGATAAAATGGACTTTAAACAACAAAGATAAAAAAAAAAAAAACCAAAGAAGGGTATTACATATGGTAAAATGATCAATACAACAAGAGCTAATGATCCTAAATATATACCCAACCAATACAGGAGCACCCAGATACATAAAGCAAGTTCTTAATGACCTACGAAGAGCTTAGACTCCCACACAATAATAATAGGAGACTTTAACAATCCACCATCAATATTAGACAGATCAACGAGACAGAAAATTAACAAGGATATCCAGGACTTGACCTCAGATCTGGACCAAGCAGAGCTAATAGACATCTACAGACCTCACCACCCCAAATCCACAGAATATGCATTCTTCTCAGCACCACATTGTATCTACTCTAAAATTGACCACATTATTGGAAGTAAATTACTCCTCAGCAAATGCAAAAGAACGGAAATCATAACAAGCAGTCTCTCAGACTACAAGGCCATCAAATTAGAAATCAGGATTAAAAAACTCACTCAGAACCACACAACTTCATGGAAACTGAACAACTGGCTCCTGAATGTCGACTGGATAAACAAAGAAATGAAGGCAGAAATAAAGATGTTCTTTGAAACCACTGAGAATGAAGACACAACATATCAGAATCTCTGGGACACATTTAAAGGAGTGTCTAGAAGGAAATTTATAGCAATAAATGCCCACATGAGAAGCTAAGAAAGATCTAAAATCAACACCCTATCATCAAAATTGAAAGCACTAGAGGAGTAAGATAAAAAATGCTCAAAAGCTAGCAGAAGATAAGAAATAACTAAGATCAGAGCAGAACTGAAGGAGACAGAGACACAAAATACCCTCCATAAAATAAATGCAGGAGCTGGTTTTTTGAAAAGATCAACAAAATAGGTGGCTAGCCAGATTAATAAAAAAGAAAATGGAGCAGAATCAAATAGATGCAATAAAAATGATAAAGGGGATATCACCACAGATTCCACAGAAATACAAACTACCATCAGAGATTACTATAAACAACTCTATGCACATAAACCAGTAAACCTGGAAGAAAAGGATAAATTCCTGGAAACTTGCACTCTCCTAAGCCTAAAGCAGGAAGTTGAAACTGTGAACAAAGCAATAACAAGGCCTGAAGTTGAGGCAGCAATCAAAAGCCTACTAACCAAAAAAAGTCTAGGTCCAGACATGTTCACAGCCAAATTCTACCAGACATACAAAGAGGAGCTGGTACCATTCATTCTGAAACTATTCCAAACAATCCAAAAAGAGGGAATCCTTTCCAAGTCATTTTATGAGACCAGCATCATCCTGATATCAAAACCCAGCAGAGACTCAACAAGAAAAGAAAACTGTAGGCCAGTATCCATGATGAACATAGATGCAAAAATCTTCAATAAAATACTGGCAAACCAATTGCAACAGCACATCAAAAAGCTTATCCATCACAATCAAGTAGGCTTTATCCCATGGATGCAAGGCTGGTTGAACATATGCAAGTCTATAAACATAATCCATCACATAAATAGAAACAAAGACAAAAACCACATGATCATCTCAATAGATACAGAGAAGGCCTTTGACAAAATTCAACAGCCCTTTATGCTATAAACTCTCAATAAAATAGATATCAATGGAACGTATCTCAAAATAATAGCTATTTATGACAAACCTACAGCGAATATCATATTGAGTGGGCGAAAACAGGAAGCATTCCCTTTGAAATCTGGCACTACACAAGGATGTCCTCTCTCACCACTCCTATTCAATATAGTATTAGAAGTTCTAGTCAGAGCAATTAGGCAAGAAAAAAAAAGTGCATTTAAGTAGGAAAGGAGAAAGTCAAATTGTCCCTGTTTGCAGTCAACATGATTGTATATTTAGAAGAACCCATCGTCTCAGCCCAAATTTCCTGATACTGATAAGCAACTTCAGCAAAGTCTCAGGATACAAAATCAATGTGCAGAACTCACAGGCATTCCTGTACACAAATAACAGATTTAAATAGAGCCAAATCAAGAATGAAGTGCCATTCACAATTGCTACAAAGAGAATAAAATACCTAGGAATACAACTAATGAAGGATGTAAAGGACATCTTCAAGGAGAACTACAAACCACTGCTGAAGGAAATAGGAGAGGACACAAACAGATGGAAAAACATTCCATGCTCATGATTAGGAAGAATCAATGTTGTGAAAATTGCCATACTGCCCAAAGTAATTTCAATGCTGTCCATATCAAGCTAGCAATGACCATCTTCACACAACTGGAAAAAACCACCTTAAACTTCATATGGAACCAAAAGAGTGCCCAGATAGCCAAGACAATTCTAAGCAAAAAGAACAGAGCAGGAGGTATCATACTACCTGACTTCAAACTATACTGCAAGGCTACAGTAATCAAAACAGCATGGTACTGGTACCAAAACAGACACATAGACCAATGGAACAGAACAGAGGCCTCAGAGTCAACACAACATATCTACAATCATCTGATCTTTGACAAACCTGACAAAAACAAGCAATGGGGAAAGGATTCCCTGTTTAATAAATGGTATTGGGAAAACTGGCTAGCCATGTGCAGAAAGCAGAAACTGGACCCCTTCCTGACACCTTACACCAAAATTAACTCCAGATGGATTAAAGACTTAAACATAGGACCTAACACCATAAAAACCCTAGAAGAAAACCTAGGCAGAACCATTCAGGATATAGGAATAGGCAAGGACTTCATGACTGAAACACCAAAAGCACTGGCAACAAAAGCCAGAATACTTAAATGGGACCTAATTAAACCCTAGAGCTTCTGTACAGCAAAAGAAACAATCATTAGAGTTAATTGGCAACCAACAGAATGGGAAAAAAATTTTGCAATCTACCCATCTGACAAAGGGCTAATATCCAGAATCTACAAAGAACTAAAACAGATTTATAAGAAAAAAACAAACAAACCCATTTAAGTTGGGTAAAGGATATGAACAGACACTTTTCAAAAGAAGATATATGAGGCCAACAAACATATGAAAAATTGCTCATAATCACTTGTCGTTAGAGAAATGCAGATGAAAACTACATTGAGATGCCACCTCATGTCAGTTAGAATGGTGATCATTAAAAAATCTGGAGACAACAGATGCTGGAGAGGATGTAGAGAAATAGGAACACTTTTACACTGTTGGTGGGAGTGTAAATTAGTTCAACCATTGTGGAAGACAGTGTGGCGATTCCTCAAGGACCTAGAAATAGAAATTCCATTTGACCCAGCAATCCCATTACTGGGTATATATCCAAAGAATTAGAAATTGTTCTATTATAAAGACACGTGCACACATATGTTCATTATGGCACTGTTTACAATAGCAAAGACCTGGAACCAACCAAAATGCTCATCAGTGATAGACTGGACAAGGAAAATATGGTACATATACACCATGGAATACTACTATGCAGCCATAAAAAACAATGAGTTTGTGTCCTTTGTAGGGACATTGACGAATCTGGAAATTGTCATTCTCAGCAACCTGACACAAGAACAGAAAGTCAAACACCACATGTTCTCACTCACAGGTGGGTTTTGAACAGTGAGAACACATGGACACAGGGAGGGGAGCATTAGACCCTGGGGTCTTTTGAGGGAGGCCGGGGAGGGACAGTGAGGGTGGGGAGATTGGGGAGGGATAACATGGGGTGAAATGCCAGATATACGTGACGGGGGGATGGAGGCAACAAACCGCATTGCCATGTATGTACCTATGCAGCAATCCTGCATGATCTGCACTTGTACCCCAGAATCTAAAGTTCAATAATAAAAGAAATGTTAACATTTCTTCTGTAAACACTAAGTAAATTCATAAAACTGAATTAAAATTTTTAAGTATGGATTCTTTACTACAGAAATTTTCAGTCAACTTGCTTAAAATGCTAAATTGTATTGCACAGCTCCATGAGTAGATTTTAATAGGCTGTAGTTTATAGAGGTTGGGTGCCCAAGAGGCAGAACCTGAGATGGCGGTTCTTGTGCAGGTGATTTACTGGAGTCCAGTCAAGTGAAATAAATCTACAAGAGGGTGAGGGAAGCAGGAGGGGGTAGAGAGGAAGCTGAGAGAAGTTGAGCTAAAGCCTGCACCGTACGGGATGGCAAACATTGACTGCATGTGGCTGCTGAGGACTTGAAATGTGCATAGTGTGACTGAGGATCTGACTTGTTAATTTTATCTAATTGTAACTTAAATTTTAAAAACCAATACTTCATTCAGCCATTGAAAAACTTTAAAGTATGAGTATGTGAATCAACTTTTTCAGCTATAAATTTTTATGAAATCTAAATATAGATCAAGTATTTCTGATGAAAATTTAGTATCTGAATTCAGATGTTTAATAAGTTTAAAATACATAATGGATTTCAAATACTTTGTATGAGAAAATGTAAAATATGTCAATAATTTTTATAATGAGTACATGTTGAAATGATATATTTTAAATACGTTGGATTAATCAAAATGCAGCTTTAAAACCAATTTTACCAATTTTTTACATTTAAATATTTAATATTTTTCTATTTACTTTTTTTGGAAATGTTAATAATTTTTAAAATATGGCTACCAAAATATTTAAAACTGCATATGTGGCTTGCATTGGTTTTTCTGCTGTAAAGTGCTGAGCTAAAGTGTAGCTCTAACTGATCATATAGGAGGTCTGGAGAGTGAAAGGCACCAGAATTATCTTCCTTTAAGGCAACGGGGTCAGCTATTGTGTCCCAGGAATAGCCTTTCATTGGCTGATCGTTTACCCCACCAAAGCATAACTTCCAGGCATAATGCAGTTTGGAATATTCAAGGGATTCTTTCATAAACTTTACCAGCAGTCTGTTGTGTGCTATATTGGATTTGACGAGACCACCATACAATCAGTAAGTCTCAAATTATGGAAGTCACCAAATTTCATTGATTTTCTGTGTAATATTTTATTTAGTAAGATGTCTGCCTTTCTCAGGCAGTTAAACATAAAACTCACTACACAGAAATAGCAACATTTAGGATATCTGTTTTGATGCTTGTTTCTCAGTTATGTAAGTGTTAGGCAACTATCAATGATTGTTATTTCTCTTGAAAGAGCCTTCTAGATTAGGTGCCCCAAGGAGAATATTACGATTGAAAGCTATGCTGGGCTCTAGTAGCTCATGCCTGTAATGCCCGTACTTTGGTAGGCCAAGGCAGGTGAATCACTTGAGTCCAAGAGTTCAAGACCAGCCTGGGCAACATGGAAAAGCCCTGTTTCCACAAAAAGTACAAAAAGTTAGCTGGGCATGGTGGTGCACACCTATAGTCCTACCTACTCAGGAGGCTGAGGTGGGAGGATCACTTGAGCCTCAGGGGTTGAGGCTTCAGTGAGCCATTATTGTACCACTGTATTCCAGCCTGGGTGACACAGTGAGACCCTGTCTCAAAAATAAAAGTAAAAAATAAATACAATAAAAGCTATGCTGCTCTCCTGTGCCTTTTAGATTGATGTGATTATCATGACATCATTAGGAGTTGGTATATAGACAATGATGGAATTAGGATAGAGTCAATTCACTGGCATTCAAAGAAATGGGAAAAGCCAAGCACCCCTGTGTCCTTCCTCAAAAAATTTTCTCAAAACCAGAGATAAAATTTCTTTGTTTCTTTTTTCAGTTTGTAAGCATGCAGCCTGGACAGCAAAGGAAGCAAGTGTAAGACTTGCTTGGAAAAGGATGGCTAATACATCTGAGGTACACTAAAGAGGCGACATTCCATAGCTTCTGATTTCTTTTTTCACCCCCTTGAAATCAGCCTATGAGACAGAGAAGAGGTTCCATCTTCCCTATTTTATGTGAAGTGACAGGATCGAACACATATTCCCTGGAATATGTCAGCACTCTTAAAAAATAACTTTGGAAACATTTGTAAAAACCAAAAAGAAGAATAAAACAATGGCACATGAGATGAAGAGAGAATGTTATATGGATTACAGAAAATCGACTGTTACATTGGATAAGAAATTTGAAAGTCAAGTCCCTCCCTCTCCTCCCTCCCTCCCTCCCTCCTTCCTTCTTTCCTTCTTCCCTCCCTCCTTCCTTCCTTCCTCTCTCCCTCCTTCCTTCCCTTCCCTGAACACTTAATACATTTTCAAAATTACAAATATATTGTATTCTATATCAAATGCTGACAATCTTATTAAAATATAAGTTCTGATTACTGACTTCAAGGAACTTCAATATAATTTAGTTACAGGAAAGTAAATGAGGATAATTATAAAAGATGAAAATGTTCAAGATATTATAGTACCTTTAAATATAAAAGTGTTAGGAGAATACATAGCAATGGAATGGTCAGAATGAAGAAGGCTAATTGATAATTTTTCAGGAGTTGAAGTTCAGTTCAGATCTATAAAAATTTTAGATCGAAATATGCATATCATAAAAAAATTAAACAACACAGAAGAACTCATGATGAAAAGCAGTAATCTCCTGCCCTACTCCTTGCTACGTTCAGTACAACACCTGAGAAAAAGCCTCCTTTTCTTCCAGTCCCATACCCTGGAGGAAACAGGTTTGATTTTAGATCTTCTGGTGCTTTCTTCATAACTTTACATCATCTCTTATAACTCTTTTCCTTGATTTATTTATTTAAGGCATTAGCTATTTACTCCCTGTCATGAATATGAAAGTTTTGTTCCCCTGCCTCTGTGCCCTTACCCTTTCTTCCTTCCAATGTTTGATAATTTGAATTATTTTTTGTTTTATTATTATCCCTGTTTTGTATTCCATCACCTTTAATTAGTGTCCTGATCTCTCTTTGCATATAATAAGAATAACAGCACCCAACCCACTTTCCTTCCCCTTTACTTCTGCATTCTACCTTTTTCTTCTGTTTTCTGTCACTTTAAATTTTATTCTTACATTGACAAAGTTGTTAAAAATTTTTTTTTGAGATGGAGTCTTGCTCTGTCGCCCAGTCTGAAGTGCAGTGGTGTGATCTCTGCTCACTGCAACCTCTGCCTCCTGGGTTCAAGCGATTCATGTGCCTCAGCCTTCTGAGTTGCTGGGATTACAAGCGAGCCACCACACCTGGCCAATTTTTTTTATTTTTAGTAGAGATGGGGTTTCACCATGTTGGCCAGGCTGGTCTCAAACTTCTGACCTCAGGTGATCTGCCTGCCTTGGCCTCCCAAAGTATTGGGATTACAGGTGTGAGCCACCATGCCTGGCCAAGGTTGTTTAGATTTTAATTCTGATATGCAACCATAATAAAGTCATCCTCATTTGTTCATTAGTTAATAGTAAAAGTTGAAAATCACAGTGCAATGTTACTGTTATTGTGATTCTATGCATTTAATTTAATTTAATTTATTATTATTATTTTTTCGAGATGGAATCTCACTCTGTCACCCAGGCTGGAGTGCAGTGGCATGATCTTGGCTCACTGCAACCTCCACCTCCTGGGTTCAAGCGATTCTCGTGCCTCAACCTCCCGAGTAGCTGGGATTACAGGTACGTGCCACCACGCCCAGCTAACTTTTTGTATTTTTAGTAGAGACAGGATTTCACTGTGTTAGCCAGGATGGTCTTGATCTCCTGACCTTGTGATTTGCCCGCCTTGCCCTCCCAAAGTTCTGGGATTACAGGCATGTACCACTGTGCCCAGCCACCAGGTGTTATTATAGAGTTTAGCAGGCTGGTTTTAATTATTTAAAAGCATGACACTTTTGAAGGCCATTTCCTGGGCAGAGTTTTGTAAAAAGTAAACAGTTTACTTTTACGTTTCAGGTTTAATTTTAAGCCTTGACCTTGAGAGTCATTTAACCTAAGTAAATAGATGAATTATTTAAAGTATCTGGAAATTTATTTAACGGCTTTAAATGGCCACATATAAAATATAATGAGAGGAGGCAATAATGTGTAGTTGTTAATATTTTTTCCTTTCCTCCTCTACTATAATTGTATAAAATGTAAAGTTTTTAGTCCATGAGCGATACATGGTAAGCTTTCAATGATTAGTAATTCTAACAGTGTTCTTTTGCGTTCATATAGTTTCATGCTTTGTTAAAAAACTTTGACATATATCAGTGGCACAATCTTTATAACAATCTCAGTGAAGAATAGAATTTATATTAATAGCCTGATTTTAAGCATGGTAGAATTGAGAGAAGGGGGGGTGGGTGGAAGAGGTGTCAAACATGACACAGTTTTAAAAGTGTTTTAAGCAGTTTTAATACGGTAAGATTCACTTGACCAATTCCAACTCCTTTCTAGTGTGAGTATATTTGGGAGGGGTCATACTACAGAGGTTGGAAAGATAAAAGATAGATTTCAAAGACTCTTGTTGCATCTGGGAATATGGCTCAGGTTCTGCAAAAAAGATGCATACCTATGAGACTTGGAAGGATGAAGTAAGCAGCATGAGAGTGGCCATGTTTACAGAGAGAGGGTCTTGCTGCAATGTAGTGGCAGAAGCATTTGTGCTTTTAGGGCAGTCTTGACAGAGTTTCTCAGGGCCAGTTCCTAGTATCATAGGTATTGAGTGATGAGTAGTGACAACAGTGGGATTTCCACTAAAATAGAACTATGGTGGTATTGGAAGTTTTTTTTGGCTGATGTTCCTGCCTTAATATCATTCAAACCTGACTTTTCTGAGCCTTTCAGAAATTGTCTAAATAACCAATAACCCTGAACAAATTCCTTTACCTTTAAATTAGTTAGAATAGATTCTGTTATTTGAAACTAAGATCCCTTTCAGATACATATGCCAAGACCAGATTTGTTTCTCAGGAGTATACTCACATTAACTAAGATCATGAAGCTGAGATGTAAAATCAGGACCTATTTTAAATTTATAACGAAAAAGTTATGCAGAGCAAAGTACACCCACACTACCAATATGTTCTCTCACTGTAGATGGACCAATATAGGCAACATAAATAATAACCAGAAGATTGCTTAGTGAGCATAGAGATAGAAAAAAGGAAGCTGGATAAATTGAATGCTTAATGGTGCAAGTTAAAAATCACTGGATTCGGCCGGTTGTGGTGGCTCATGCCTGTAATCCTAGCACTTTGGGAGGCCGAGGTGGGTGGATTGCCAGAGCTCAGTAGTTCAAAACCACTCTGGGCAACATGGTGAAACCTGTTCTCTACTAAAATACCAAAATTTAGCCAGGCTACTTGGGAGGCTGAGGCAGGAGAATTGCTTGAGACCAGGAGGCAGAGGCAGGAGAATCGCTTGAGACCAGGAGGCAGAGGTTGCAGTGAGCCAAGATTGTGTCACTGCAGTCCAGCTTGGGCGACAGAGTGAGACTCTGTCTAAAAAGAAAACACACACTGGATTCATCTATCCTTCCTATGGAGATAATCTTACCAATGGAGTTATACTATGTATGGTTTATTATATAAAGCTCTTACTCTGTTGGAAACTGTTTAGATGAGTATCACCAACTTTTGCAATTTTCTTTTCTCCATGATTGACATAATCCCTTTTTGATGGACAATTCCTTGGTTTTTTTTTAGATATACCAAAACTTTTAATTAATTTATAGTCAAGTTTAGCCATCAACTGAAGCCTGGGATCCATTCTGTTACTTTAAGATGACTAGTCATCTGACCCTCAAAATATAATTTGTTACCATCCTGTTCTTGGATGTGAGAAGAAAATTCTTGTGTGTGTGTATCTCTCTTCCATCCATTGAGTATGTGGTAACTGTAGTTTATTTCCCAGAGGATGATATTCTTCCCCATATTTTAAAATGTCATTTTTCAAATGCTGCTAAGAAGTAAAATGTAAGTTTCTTAACATCCAAACTACGATTATGTGTCCCACACTAATAGGAGATACTTTGGGCTAAAGACCCATTCAGTTAATTAGTAATATTCTATGAGGATTGTAAATGTTTAGATTTAGATAGTCACTCCAGTTTTTTCAGGATCACAGCTTATGAACTAATTTCTGATAAAAGAAGAATTAAGAAAGGATGGTTTGACCTCAAGGTACCAATTAGTATGTATAAACCTAGATAAAATGAAATAAATTTTGTACATAATATATTATTATGAAATACAGATTTAAGGGGTATAGTTACAAATGATTTTTAGGAGCTAGTGAGTCTAAGTGCCTGAGGGTCTATTATGGAGAAAAAGGAATTGCTGAAGTTTATTGAAGGGCATGTTCTTTACAGCAAAACTATTTTTGTCACACACACATTCCATATTAAATTTCTGCTCAAATTGAAATCACAGTTGAAAGACAAAACTGAAAGGTGTACCAGTGTCCCCAAATCAGTGAAGATTTAAGATCACAGAACAAGAGAAGTTTCTGGCAGTGAAAGGGAATAGGTAGTAAAAAATGGGGTTACAAAAGGGCCAAATAAAAAAAATGTTAATGAAGAATCCACTTAAAAATAGTATTACATTCATCAATGATAGAATGGATAAAGAAAATGTGGTACGTATACATCATGGAAGACTATGCAGCCATAAAAAGAAATGAGATTGTGTCCTTTTACATGCCCAGGGAAGTGAATGGAGTTGAAAGTCATTATCCTTAACAAACTAATGCAGGAACAGAAAACCAAACACTGCATGTTTTCATGTGTAAGTGGGAGTTGAATGATGAGAACACATGGGCACAAAGTGGGAACAATACACACTGGGGCCTGTCGTGGGGTGAGAGAGGGAGAGCACCAGGAATAATTGCTAATGGATGCTGGGCTTAATACTTAGGTGTGCCGCAAACCACCAGGACACATGCTTACCTGTGTAACAAACCTGCACATTCTCACATGTACCCCTGAACTTAAAAGTCGAAGAAAAAAATAGTATTGCATGAAAATTATATAATCATTATTCTGAGTTGGCTCCAGGATTTGGCTGGTCCAGGTCTAACCTCTAACAACAATTGAAAAAAAAAAACTATAAGAAACTATAAAATAAGGAATGGTTATACTTAAACATGCATAGACCTATAATATCAAATGCATCCTTGAATTGTTGTATTGTATTCCTGAATGTGCACTGTTATGCTTTTCTGTGCTAGCACATTATATGAAATGATACTTCTCATTTTTCTTTGCTTTTGGACACTAGTGGCTCTAAATGAGATCTGCTGTTTTATCTTCCTTGCCAAATATTCAGTCTATACTGATAATCCAAAAGAAAGAATTAGCAACTGTTATTTTCCCTTGCTTGCTTCACCTTTCCTCCTTACATTCCAACATTTTTCATTGCTCCTTTCTTTACCCAATATTTTTGACCTCCTCTTTCCTCTTTAGTCTATGGCATTTACCCAGTTTAATAAATACCAGTTTCAAGCACCCCTGAAGGGAGACATTTGGAACTGAGAGTTGCCATTGATGGTCTGGTTATGGACAGTTGAACCCCTAAAATAGTGTGATTAATAGTGAAACAGGAAAAGTTCCCTTGTCTTCTTCACAGGGCGTGTGATGGGGTTGTGGCTTGCTTCTTAAGTGCCCCGCTGCTCAAAACAGGATGTTCTTTTAGTTTAGCCATCTGTAGCTGACTTGTGTTAGCTCAGTTAGACCCCTGCCTTATCACAAGGACAGGGCTTTCTGTATCCTGGGGTTCTTGCCTTGGTGTACCAGAAGAACTGGATCACACGTGGGCTTGGACAATGAGCACAAGGTTTTATTGAGTAGAAGTAGCTCTCAGCAGGTAGGGAAGCCAGAAGGGAGATGGTTTTCCCCTGGAGTTAGCCACTCAACTGCCTGAGTCTTCTCCAGTGCCCAGCAAAACTTCACATCTTCCACTGGTTGATGGCTGGCTCATGTGCTCTTGAGGTCCTCTCCACGTCCATCCACTTGTGTCTTTTTCCACCAATCCACTCCTCTTGATTCCCTGTCAACATTCAGCCACTTGTGTGTTCCTTCACCGTTGTGTTTCTCTCCATATCCAGGGGGTTTTTAAAGGCACAGGATGGTGGCGTGGCTGGTCAGCACAGTCTTGGGAAATGCAACATTTGGGTGCCAAGGCAAGAGTGCCTGTCCCCACTTAGGCCCGTGGGCACAGGCCGGAAGGTGGAGCCCTCCCCAGGGACCACACCTTCCTCTATCCAGCACTTCCCTGCCTCCCTTCTGTAGCAATAGCAAGCTGAGATTTATGATGGGCTGAGACAGTAAAGTTTGCTGAAACTCCATGGGAAATTCTGGAAGTTTCATGGGTGTAGCTTTGATTTTGACATAATAAATCTTTACACTAAAATGTATAAAATATTAACACAGTAGTAAGGATAATTTTGCCTTTTTTTTATTGCATTTTAGGTTTTGGGGTACATGAGCATAGCATGCAATACAGTTGCATAGGTACACACATGGCAGTGTGTTTTGTTTGCTTTCTCCCCTTCACCCACATTTGGCATTTCTCCCCAGGCAATCCCTCCTCACCTCCCCCTCCCACTGGCCCTCCCCTTTTCCCCCCAATAGATCCCAGTGTTTAGTACTCCCCTCTCTGTGTCCATGTGTTCTCATTTTTCAGCACCCACCTATG